ATATTCTTAACTGTCGATCGCGGCACTATAATGTCGCAGACGGATCGTCGCGTCTGCCCGGCAAACAAACATTGTAGTGGCAAGCGCATGGTTCATTAAGCAGGGCGACTTCCAGAAACGTCAACTCGTGGCCGTTATTTTACCTCGCGTAAAAGAATGTGGCGTGATCCGAACGTAGTAGGGGTCGCCTTCCAGAAAAAACGAAAAAAATCGAAAGGCGTTCAGAACTTTTCGAGAAGTCGAACCGTCAACACATCTCATATATCGCGCATTACTTATCAACCAAAACGCAGTTACATTTTCCTTTTTGTTCCATTTATGTCTTTCTAGTTAATAAGTTGTTGAAATAAACATTAATTTATTTGTGTTAATTCTGTGGAATTTCATTGAACTACCCTTATTATCATAATCGAAATAAGGGAATCGATCAGTTCGTGGCGTCGATTATTTAATCGTAACGGGAACTTACAACTCTCGTTGACGTGCTATCTCGCGATCGCGTCTGTCCTCGAACGGTCGAAACATCTACATTTTCAGAATTCCGAGTTTGACCTCCTTAAAGTCCTGTAGCATCAAAGAGAAAAGTAACGAATGTGGAAAAAGATCACACTATATTACGATCCAAATATTCAGTTATCCATCTGCAAAATTTTTATGAAAATACTTTTATAAATGGAGTTTTACCGTGTTTGCGCGATAGTGAGATTTACAACACGCTATTTGTTATTGAAACATATAAAGGCGAAAGCAGAAAATTTGAAAATGCATGCAATTTGTCGAAATTACTGCGAAGCCGCATATTGCTATGCAGATGGTAGAAAATTAAAGCTATTTCGCAAAAATAGCCAACCATCTGGCTTTGTCGTGAACCTCGTGACACTTTGAATCTTCGTCAACGTGTTGTGAGAAATGTTCGGGAATCGAACAAAGATGAATTTTATTTTTTTTAAAGGAACCATATATTTTTAACAGATTAATCGGTCTGTCATGGCATCCTTTATGAAAAGTTTAATTAACCAAGTTATTGAAATTATTAAAATTTAATTAACAAACAGTCATACGTGTAGTATTGTGGTAGAAAATTGTTCATTGTTTCAACATTAGTTATTGTTGAGAAACGTTAAGTTGGTATGATCGCTAGTTGCTGCAAGCTAAGTTGGTACGACTCCTAACGACGCTCTTTTGTCTTAGGAGTCGACCACGTGTTAATTATCTAAGTGTATCCGGTATGTTCAGACGTTTTATACGAGGTGGTGAAATATAGAAAGTAAAATTCAATTTGCGTGAATTTATTAAATATCAACCCCAAACCTACATTTAATAACAGTTATTTATATTAAAGGTATTCTAAATTATAGCATCATATATTATTATAATATTATTCTAAATTATCAATTTCAAGCGGGTAGCAGGTAATCCTTTAGAAGGCTTAGTTTTCGAGAAAACCAACTGTGGAAATTTGTTTGATATATGTGAATTTGGCTAGTTACCGCGTTCTCTGTAATATTATATAGCACTATAAGTTAATAGTATTATAAATTAAAACGTCCTCAGTTGGAACTCCTCACACGTTCTACCAGCAAACTGACGTTCAGTCGCGTACGATCGTTCTGCACGTGGGTATAGCACCTACATATTCCATGTACTTTGTAGTCGCATGCGAATAGAAATTGTAGCAAATTCGACAATCGATTTCGTAGTCGCGCGACCAGTCGCAAGTGGAAATTTGGACTGACGGTTTTATAATGATTGGTTTTGTTCCATTTCAATCTTCCATTGATTTATCATCTAATTTACCAAATAAATTTTTCAAATGCTTTACGGAACGATTGATCAGTTTCCAGAATCAGGCAGTTTACAGTCCTGTGTATACGACTGTGGTTTAGTTTATCGGAAAATGATATCAAATATCACACTAACTTGTCATTAACATTTCTATTTTTATATACTAGTAAGCACGAAATGCATAAACTAGTAAGCATTTATTTGAAAACTGGAGTATGTTCATTTCCCTTTGTTTCGAAATATCAAAGTGTTTGCGCTTCCATCGATTGAAAGATCCTAACAAGGTCTACTTGATTTGACTACATTCAACTAGATCGATATCTTTTTCCTAAAACTAATCAGTTGTACAATTCATTAAATTTTAATCGTTTAAAATTGATGTTTTATATAGTTGAAAATAAATAGAATAAAACGAAATAAATCAAAATTATTATAATATTATCGCGTTAGATTGCAGTAAACATACTTGTATCGCTATCAGATACTGATATCAATGCGAAGTTATACACCGTGAAAAGAAAGTAACGTTATTTATTTACTAATCGATATTTAAACGATTTAAGTAAATAATAATAATTTAATAAATGTATTACTGAATCGCATTTTAACAACTATCATTTGTTTTTGATTATTCGTGCCTCGACTGTTTGGTCAGGGTACAGATTATACAAAATGAGCTTACGTCGCTTTTAAAATAAATGATTATGAGATACCATTCATCAACGAAATTTATATCGATTAAAACGAGGGAATATTTTAAACATATAAATTATGGATTGCGTATAAATAAAAAGTTTACGCTAAAGTATATGTAAACGTTTCGTTTTCTTAATTTTTTCAAGAAATGGACTTACACCACTTTAAAAATAAACGGCCCATTAATTAATGCACGAAAGATGAAAGTAATTTGTTCAAAAAGCAGTAATAACTATTACAAAGTTCCTAAAAGCAATTTTGTAAGGCAAGTACTTTTTGAAGATCGGATGAAAATATAATTAAGTAAAATATTATAATATTATACGCGCAATTTCATAAATATTACGATCGCCACTTTGTACGTTAGTAATGATTGCCGTAATTAATATAAAATCAACGATGGTATGTTTACCACGGAAAAACGAATAGCAGAACTATTGCCACTGAAAATATTGTAACAATTTGATAGAACATGCATGAATATCTAGCGATAAGCATATTTTTGCTCTTGCTCAGCTATTCCGTCCGTTAACAGACACCAAATCGTTGAACTTTTACATCTGTTCCCGACAGTTCCTCCTCCGATTCCATTCCATTCGACTTTCTCGACTCAGTTTTCATCGTTCTCTTCCCTTCAGCCGGTCGTTGTCAGAGCGGAGAGCGAGGTAGCCGAAGAATACCGCGTGAGAGCATGCAGAGCATTTCAATAAACGACAGGAAGAATAGCACCGGCTGCATTCCTTCCCTGGATCGTCCAGAATGGTTCAGCCGGTCACGCAGTCTGAAACTTACTTACGGTTTTCTAACCATTTCTATCTACTCTCTGGCTGCTCGCAACTATTATTTCCGCTTTAAACGTAAACCTGCAGATTCAACGAATAAACGTGTAAACGGCCAAGAAGAAGATAAAGCACAGATAGTGTAATTTATCGTTGTCTCTGGTCAACAGGCGGAAAGAAAAACGACGGGGAATTCGTAAATGTACAAGCAACGGAGCAAAAATATAGCCAAACGGTGAATAGTATTTAGACTTGGTTTAATAACTACCAAATTAGAGAACTTTTCCTTTCTTTCTAAAAATGCGTCTTGCGCGTCAAGATTATACGTATTGGATCTTAATTGTTTACGTTACAAAGGATAGTAATAAAATGTACAATAACAGCTATTTTTATAGTCTGATATTTTGTATGTCGTTCTTTACTCTTTACTTTTGCTTGAATATACTGACTTTTAATTTTATTTTAATCCATTCTGTTAATAGAAATTGTTTAAGTTTGTTTTTATTTATGACGTGGTGCATTTTTACACGTTTTCCCAATTTTGCACAAAGATGTTCGATGGGATTTAAATCTAGGTAAATCTACAATCTACGTTGTAGACTGTATAGTGCTTAGGCTTGTTGTTTTTTTGAGATACAAGGTTCTCCCCAAGTTCTCATTTTGTACACTTTTTGAAATCATTTCCTTCAAAATATTTAAATAAGTGTGTTTATCCATTATATCCTGAATAGAAGCGCCTTATACGTTCTTCAGATCTAATTCCGTATTATATTTGAATCTGCACTTTAGAATCAGTTTGAAAAAACTTTTTCCCTTAGCAACATAATCTCTGGAAAACTTTAATTTTCTCTGCTGACTAATTTTGCTTTCGCCTTGCAATTCGGCATCGATATCCGACATATTATGACACGCGACAAATACATTTTTATTCTTAATAAACGTTCTTATTATAATCTTCGTTAATTGTTACCACGATCTCCGAGGAAAATGTAACATGGTCAATTTTCATTCTATCAATGATTTTCCTCTTTTCTCGCTTGGTCAACTTTTCTGAACGACCAAGTCGCGGAGTATTTATTACATTTCACGCGTTAGAAAATCGTTTAATTACACCTCTAACGATGAAACGACTTCTTTTCATTGCATTCCCAATAATGAAATATGAATCTCCTTTTCTAAATAAATTTATTATTATTTTTCGTCCGCAACGGTCGTTTCTTGGTTTTGCGACTGTTTGTGAGTGTCGCGTAACACTCTACCTAGACCAGGCCACACACCGCGGGCAAGATGGCAACCAGATGTCTTCGGATACTTATTGCGTACCCTCAATAGTCTCAAGTACCCTCCATAAATCTCAGGAATTTCCTAGTCGAGGTCCTTCAAACCGAACAAACATCTGTTTTCCGAATCATTTCCAAAGACCATTGTCTACTACGGCTTGACGAGGGAAAGTTAGTTTTTCTAACGTACGATGCAACTTTCCTCCTACTAACCACTTTCTATCGAGGGCGGCTAAGACCCTTCCTAGTCCACCAACATTCGTTTAACCAATTAACAACGAAGTCTATTTCCCTCACTCTCTTAGCCAAAATCGTCACCAACAAATCCGATGGTCCCGTGCGCTAAACACACCCATCCTTAGCTTTCCTTAGCCACAGCATCGTCTCCGAACATCACTGATTTTCTATCCTTCGAACAGTCAACATCCTTCGATCGGGTTTACACCCGAAGATCAGTCACTCACTCATTTTATACACACGCACCAGCGTAACTATCTTCTCTACAAGTTGTTAGAATAAATGGTGATTTATACTTACTATACAGTGTTATATTCACTTTGTGTTACACCGAAGTTGTTGGTTTGTGAGAATATATAATAACCTGTTAGTAGCAGCGTTATCTTTAATTCAACTACCCTTATTGTCCCAAAAGAAATAAGGGATCGAATGATTCGCGGCGTCGATTAGCAAATCGTAACAGGAATTTACGACTTCCGTTGGCGCGCTTCTTCGAGATCGTGTCTCCCTGCGAACGTGCGAAAACAGCGACTGATTTCGTACTTTTTGGTGTTTTCTTTCAAGAACGAGTAACTGGATAAAATCAGATAAATGTTATTTATATGCATCTAGCCATAGGTATGTACCTTGTACTTAAGAAAGAAAAGTACAACTATAGAAATCTATAAACATTGTATTTGATGTCTCGTTTATCAAGTGTTTAACTTTGGCTGCGTATTTGTTAATTGAAATAATTCAAACAAAAATACAAACCATAATTAATGTATAGGCTAACATGTAATAATAATACAATACTGACAAGTTTATAAAATTATTTATGTAGGAATGTTATTATAAATTAACAGAAAAAACTGTATGATAAACAAAATATCGTTGCACTCTCACAAAATCGAATAAAATATCGCGTTTCACGAATTCGTTTCTCACTAATTCTACGTCACAATAACACGATGAACTTCTCTCGACCACGATTAATTCAACTCTGACAGCATTACCACGCTCATTTTTCCCTTAACAAACCTTGGTAACGCTCACAACACTTCTTGACAACATTAACATATCTTGACAACGTTTATAAACAATCAGCCACGTCCTTCCCTGACGTCACACCATCTCACATTTATATAATTTTTTTACACGACTTTAGCGATTCAAGGTAAACGAAACAGCCTGCATAAATTTATGTTTACCTACTTAGGAAAAAAGTTTTTCTCGCGTTTAATACTTTCTCTGTTAGCGAGGATGAAGTAGTGGAATACAAGCCTCACAGTTTCCAACTTAAAGAAGATTTCATTCGAGATCAACGGTGCAGGCGAATAACTTTTATAGGTTAAGAATCATCTATTCACGACTGGCAATTAGCACTACCCGAGTTCGACTACTTCTTAAGCATTAAGTAGCTTATTAAGTAGATCTCTGTAAGGTGAACTTCTTAAGGAACTCGTTCGCGAAAGAAGGAAATTCATGCAAAATTATTAGAACAGCGATAGCCTTTAAAATCTCAAGTATGTTTTACTACGTTCTATGCTGCTCGGCACCTGCTAACTTTTATATGTTGATCCTTTTATTGCACGCGCTTCAAAATTGCAAGAGACAGTTTATCCGAAATTTTATTCCCCAAAGAGTTATTCAAACTTACTTTTCTTTTCCTAAAAGGTATCAATTCGTAGGTGACTGACAGACTTTTAAAAAGATTTATCAACCATACATCGAAAGGATTATCTGACGAAAGAAAGCAATAGAAAGTAATAGAAAATATCACGTTGTTAATGCAAGCATATAATTCTGTATATAATTGTTGAAGTAACTACTTCAAGAATATGTATATCTGGAGACTGCTATTACGCAAAAATATTCTAAATAAGGAGAGGTGCATATTATTGTACCCTTAAATATACATTATATTATGGGTTGTAAGGTCTAGGAACAAGGGAACTAATAAACAGATTTCAATTTTGTAATGTCCTTTTGCTCCCTATCATTCCATTGTCTAGTAACACTAAGAGAGTAAAGATTGGAAGCGGCATAAATTTATACGTTATACTCATCCTTATACTTATACCTTTAATTATTTCAAGATACTTTTCTATTATAAATTCATTCACTCGTTCATCAATCGGTCAACCTCAACCTCAACAATAATGAATGAACGAAAATTTACACAGAGTATAACGACTAGATTGTAGCGTTCTTTCGAGATTCGTGCGTAAGGAAAGAAAGAAGACTAAAAGGTTCAATCGTCTCTTATAAAACAAAGAACGTTAGACATAAATAATTTTGTTAGTTATGTCAAAGAGCGAAGAGAGATGAATATTTTAATATCCGTTTAATAAGTATAAGCAAGTGTGCAGTTAACGTAGACGTTGTGCGATTAAGTATATTAATGTAAAGTGAATTGCTACAAATGCACTTAATACGCTTGATCCCAGTTGGATGTAAAGCCTGAAGGAGAAAGCAAAAATTTGAAATAGGAAATAACATAAGTTGCTCTGCTAGAGTATAAAAAATAAATTCATGATATATAAATTATTTCCTTTTTTCTGTTATCTTGTACAAAATTTGTATTAACGGAAAAATGTAAGCGAGTGAAAGGTTATTCGTCAGAATCGATTTGTTGAAATGTTTCGCGTATATATCTGCGTTTGTAATAACGGAAAACATTACAAATATCCAACATGCTAAATTTAAACCAAGCGCTGTGTATAATATGAAAAGTTTTCCGGCGAAATATGTACAAAACTTCTCTAAAATTATATCGTTGATATATTCGAGTGAAATTTTTTAAAGTAAAATCGATGCAAAATTTAAATTAAACGTGAAAAATTGCAATATTTGAGATATTTTAATTAATACTTTTCATCGAGACAGGAATTTGAAAGTTTTACTAGATCGTTGACGCGTAGCAAGAATTTTAGGAGCGGCAAATGACAACGAAGGGCAACGTATGACTATGATAAAAAATAAATAAAGAAGAATAAAGGTTCGCGCGATGAGCGAGGTTGATGAAATTTAATTAATTGGTTTTCGATACGAGCTCGATCATCCGTGTCGCATCGATGAATTTCATGTGACCGTCGCGTTGCGTTACTTGGAAAATTGTTACAACAGCTGCGACTATTACATCGTCTCTAATGCAGCAGAAAGAAAGGAAGAGCCTGTTTCGAAATCGCCAGATATCCAAGACGACACGGATTTCCGGCAGGCGATAATCGGCGATGCATTAAAATCATCGAAACGGCGCATCGGCAAATCTTGCCAATGCGTTCGCCATTCGAGTCTGTGTTGCATTTGCACTGGAATGCGATTGTATTAAACGCAGAAGCGGGCCAACGTCGGAAAGATCGCGAGGAAACTCTTTACGCGAGAAATGCTTTTAAAAGCGGAATCCTTCGGGCGCTTGATACGTTCGCGAAGCGGGGGAAGGTACCACGAAGATAATACGACAACTCGTGAATACAATGCAATGTCGTGGCATGCACGTACGATGTTCTTTCGTTAAAAGCATCGACAATGCGCGTAGTATCGACGAGAAATGTAAGATTTTTCAAAACATCACATTAGATCTACCTTTCTCATAGTCCATGATTTTACAGTATTTTGTGGATTGTATATACATCGCCTTATTTACGAGCTAGAACAATTGATTAATTTTCGGTTGACGTTTATCTTCTTAAGATTACTATTCTTCGTTCGTCCGAAATTTCTGAAAACCTTACGATATCAAATACAACGTTTAACCCAATTTTCGTATTGTTCGACATGCTTTGAACTTTAAGCAATTCTTAGCAATTTGCCCGATATCTCCGATTGTTTCCAAACTTCAGTATATAGAAGAGGAGTGCTTAAAGAGATGAAATATACCTTAAACGTTATTATATTAAAGGTAAATTTTTAATTTTATATTAAAACTAAACCTGTCAGTATCTTCTACTAAATAGGAAAATGTTATATAAATATAAAATAGGTCTAAATAGGAAAATGTTATATAAATATAGGCCGTTTAAAGCTGTATTAAAAAGTTATGGCAAAAGTATAAAATACAAAGAGAATAGTAGCAAACCTATAGAATATACTGGCAACGTATGGCTGTTAAAATCTAAGACACCCTGTAAAAATGCAAATTAAAGTGAACAGTAAACAGCTGAAGAAGTTTGTCGTTAATAAATTCAAATAACAAAACTAACAAATAAACGAAAGAAATGGAACTTAATGGATCGCTTTCGGTATCTAGTTCGTTGCTTGTACTGTTTCTTTTAACGATATTGTACCTTTTGAAATATCGATACTTGTTTCCACACTAAACAAATTTCTAAATAAAAATGACAAAATTCAGCGTGAGTTTTAGGCTAATTTTAAGTTTAGTTTTAATACGAGATTCTTAGTAACTTGGAGTTGTTTGCGACGCTTTTTTCAAATGATGTTTTACTCTTTTACATAATCCCCTCCAATATATTGAAGTTTGAAAGAAATGAGAGGTACCGACCAAATTCTAAAGTATTAGCAAACTTTACTATAACTTCATTTCTTTCAAAAGTTTAACACAAAGGGTACGAAAGTGTAAATAGTCAAGTACTATCAAGGCAATTAATCACAGTTTTAATCGATTAAATAGTAAATTTAGCTGAAATGCATGTACAATATTGCATTACCAGAATGTTTTTTACAATTTTATCGCGCTATTTATTAACAGCCATGGATCGAATTTTCAAATATAATAAACTCTTAAAATGTCTAAAGAGAAACATACTGTCGTTTGACTATGAGTAAAAAGCAACAGAAATATCAAGGCGCACGACAGATTTATAATTCTTTTTTTTTATCACCCATTGATAAACCTTCAGAAACAGATTTATTGTAATTCATTAATTAGTTTACATGAGATTCGCGGGCTTTGTAGTTTTCAGCCGCCTGTATCCTGGTGGGTTGTTGATCAAATTGCTGACTAATGAATTTGGCTGCTTTTGTAATCATTTTTGTGCAATTTCGCTTGATTTCGAATAAATTCGAACCCGTTTTATCTGAAATTTTGCATTGAAAATTGCTAGCTATAATTGAATTCCATATGATCATATCGAGATTTATATATTAGCAATTTATTGTTCAGCGAAAACAGTGACCTACGCCTCTCCAGTTCAATATCTAGTTGCCCTGTTTGTTTTTAAGTGTTGCTTCCACGTAAGTCACTTATAAGTCTTATTACTTGGCTATTTAACGTGCTCCTTTGCAAGTAATGCTTCGTTATTTAATCTTATTTCTGTTTCTGTTATATGTTTTGTCGTAAATATAGTGTACGTAGGTTTGAAAGCATTTAATTTGATTTTCGGTCCCACCTCAAATCTCCTTTATGGACATTTTTAAAGTTTTTGTTGCTTTGTCTAAGTTCTCATGTGATGCTAGAATTGTCGTCAGCATACTTAACTACTAGTGCATCGCTGGTCGTAGCGAGATGTGCTATAAAAATTTGGTACAACGCAAGTCCCAAGACGCTGCCTTGGGGCATAGCAGCTCGCATGGGGTA